TATAGGGAAGGAGGGGAGGGGGGGAGAGAAGGGGAGGGGGGGGTTAGACGAGCGGGATATCGCACTTTAGGAAACCGAGCCAGCCAAAAAAAACCCCAACAAACAACCCCAAAAAAGGACCAAGGACCCGAACACCCGCCGCGTGTGCCAACGCCGCTCAGTTCTATGTCTCTCTCCAGCCCCGCTGGTCCCCAGCCGGGACCCCTCCGGGTAAAACCGACCGGTTCGTTACACACACACACTCACACACACACAGACACACACACGGAGCCGCAAACGTCTAAGGGGAAAGCCTTCCCGGTTGGGAGCCGCCGCCGCCGCGGGGCCCAGCCCGGCCCGGGGGTGCGCATCCCCGCCGGGAGCTGCATCCTTCCTCCCGGATTTTAACCCTACTCCCCATCATTAAGCCCCGCCTTTTTGTTCCTCTCTTTCTTATTTTATTTTCAATTTTTTTTTGAAGGAGTCAGACCTTTAAAATTATCACAAGGGAACGGGGGGAGCCGAGTCTCTTTCCCCCCTCCCTCCCTCACGCCTTCAGCCAGAACATGCAACCAACTTGAGGAGGAGCAGCCTCTCTCCCCACCAGCACCAAAAAGGCAGGACACCGCCCCAGAAATCCAGGCTTCCAAAAACAACGCGGCTGCGGTTCCTCTACGGAGGGAGAGGAGACACAATGAACCCCAGCTCCTTTGAGGCTCTCTCCTCCAAGACCCTGGAAGTTACGAGCGTGGAACCTCTCGGTATAGGCATCAAATTTATTCCAAAAATTCCATGAAATATAAAGGAATGGCGGTGCTTTTACACAGAACTCAACTCAGTATTAAGTACTGGGGTGTTCTCCCTCCAAATCTTAAGAACTATGCAAATCTGTGCTATCTTTAAAAATAAAATAAAGATATTTCAATAATTAGAACAAACTATGAAGGTATTGTGCATTTCTGTTTTATGTAGATAATAAAATATTACTTTAACATAAATATATAAGGATCTCTGCGTTTTTATTTTTCCCCACAAGCACATCCAAATGTACCAAAACAAAGTATTTTTAAAGAGACTGAACCAAAAAAAAAAAATTACATCCCATATAGATTTTGTTCACCTACTCATTTAAAGCTACAGAAAAACAGTTTCCAGAACCTGTTTGCTTTAAAAGAAATAAATATACATTGAGGCAGGCCACTTAAAAATGATATGAAAATATTTCCCTGGGTAGCATTTAAAAAACAAAAAAAAAAAAAAAAGAAAAATAGACAAAGAAAACATTGAAACTATTTCTGCATTTCAAAGGACAAATATTAAACATATATACATAGTGGTAAGGTTTGCGTGGTAACTTTTTTTTTTTTTTTTAGTAAACCTATTTGGAGTTTGAGGCTTTTCTCAAACATCCTCTCGACTCCGTTTTCTGACCTTACGCACGTATATTAATAAGTGTCTGAAAGTTCATTTCCTCCCTTTACCACTGGATCTGCCCTGATCTGATTCACTTCACTAGGCGCTAGTCCTCAACACTTTAAATAACAAGCAGCTCAATACACCCAAAAAAAAAAAAAAAAAAAAAGAAAGAAAAGAGAAAAGCTTGGTGCCCGTATCTTTGTAACAATTGTTGGAAAACTAGGAAAAAAGGCTAATGCATGTGCCTCTTAGAAATCATCATCTGTCTTACCAAGAAGAAAGGAAGAAAGAAAGAAAGAAAGGGAGAGAAAGGAAGAAAGAAGGAAAGAAAACCCAATGTCACAGGCGCTTTAAAAGACAATGAGAAACATACTCTAAAGCCTTAGCTACTGAATGCAATATTTATAGGAGAGTTCTGCCAGAGAATGCTTCACTGTTTTTTTTTTTTTCTCCATAATTGTCCAACACTCAACTAAGTAAACTTTTCGATTATAAAAATGCTTTGTCTCTATAGCACTCGCTCGTGCTGACTAAATGATCATCCCTTTATGAATTTATAACTATCATAGTTTAAAGTTCCTCTAATGTATATGCATAGCTGTGTGTGTGCATAAGTACACAAACACACGCACGCAGACACACGCACATACATGCGCTGCTCCGAGGTCCCGCTCCTCTGCTTTCCCTTTAGAGCTTTTTGTTTTCCTTTTTTTTTTTTTTTTTTTTTTTTTTTTTTTTTTTTTTTTTAAAAAAAAAAAAAAAAAAAAAAAAAAAAAAATTTTTTTTTTTTTTGGAAAGTTAACTGTTTCCCATCGAGATAATGTCACGAAATGCACTTTAAAAAACGAAGAGGGGAAAAGAAAGACGGGTTGAAAAATGGCATTTTTTTTTTTTTCCCACTTCATTTCGTTCCCCAGTGAAAGACACAAGGCTGCCCAAGTTAAAACTGGTCCTTTCCTT